AAGAGCGTAGCTTGCAGGAAGGAAAGTTTTCAAGCACATTTCAGGCTGGCATTGTTCATACAATGTGGGATTAATTCTGACTAATTATAGCAGTCTTAAAGGTATACAAGATAAGACTTCAGTTTAAATTAGATTAAATATTTTTAATATTAATTTAATAATTTTGAATAATATCAAATTATACTTAGAACTTTATATACAATTTAATCATTTGTGGGAAATAAGTAATAAAGGGATTACTTCCTCTTACAATAATATTTTCTTTATATTGCTCAGCATATTATTCAGCAGTCTACGTTTTACCTTAACTCAGGTGATTCTTGTCAAAACCAGGTTTAGAATCTATGCGTGACAGATGAGCCCAAAGCACTTTTACCTCCAAGTCAAGAAGTTTTAATAATGCTGGCAGGAAATAATTTTGAGCTGTGCATTTCATATTACGTTTCTGTGATAGGATTAAAATACCACATGAAATGTGGTACTAATTACATTCCTAATCTGACATTATTGTGTTTCTAGTGTTAGCTGAGTTTTTCTTAGTATTAATGAAGCTGGGTAAATTCCAGTATCAAAATGTCTGGGAACCATTCTCCTATAAAATAGGAAAGTAAATATTCTAGTTAAAGTGTTGCGTGGGTAATAACAGCAGACTATTGCATTTAGGCTACTTGCAGCACTAAGGGAAGTCAATATTATTAATGATTGATAACACCCAGCATCTGATTAAAGCAAAAGAACCTTTTCTAGTATGTTTTCTTTATAAACTGCTTTAAGATTTGAAAGGGATTAGTCTGCCCAGCTGAAAAATACCAAATTAATTTGAATAGATGTAGCTAAAGAAAATAAGGTGTAGGAAAACTGGTGTAATTAAAATGTTTAAATTTCATTTAGTTAATTAAAAGAAGACAATGATTGAATCTGCACTAAAGATTAAATATGAATTAATATCTGAAACGAAGGGGAAAATTTCAAAAAATTCTGTCGTAGTCAAAAGGATAATGTCTAACAACAACTAAACTGATAACTTCACCTGATATCCAAAAAAATCCACAAGTTTTTAAAGACAGTCAGGTTTTGGAGGTTGCATGTGAACTAACATACAGCAAAGGTGTGAAAGGATGGACTATTTGATGAGGAAATCTTGCAGAACATTTGATCTGTTTGTAGTTTGGTTGTTTGGGGTTTTTTTCCCCCTTGCTTGCACTGAAAGCAAGGGTAATTTTATCACTGTTTGCATGAACATGGATTTCAGTAATACCTACTATTCTTCAACGGGGTTCTAACAAATCTTCCTATTTCAATTAATTTGAGAACATGCTCTTAATCCACTTCTCCACTTCTATCAATTGCCCAGCTTTCACTTTGTCTAAATATTTCTTCCCTTTCAGCAACATCTTTTAAGAAATTAATCTGCCTTTATATAAAACTAGATTAAATTCAGTCTTTCTTAAAATACTGGTTGAAGTGCTTTGCATGATCCGGCCTTTAACACAGGTGCCTGCTTACCTAAATGTGTCTCATGAGCCATGCTTCCTCTGCCCCAATGTTTTATCTTCTTTTAAAAATAGATTAGTGTTGATTCTGCTGTTTCCATTCTTTCAGGCATTGTGTTGTGGGCTGAAATCTGTTTCCCTTGGGTGTGCCATGTGAAACAGGCAACTGCTCGAGATCTTCCTCTGTGCTCAAAGCCAGACAGCTGATATATATCCCACATACTTTACTGTAATAGAACAAGTTAGTGTTCTCTTTGATTTCTCTGAGATACAGGTTGTGCTCACTGTTTAACCTCTAGACAAACAGCAGTTCATTTCAGATAGCGTAAGTTTCATAAGGCTGGGAATTTGGGTATTGCACAGTTTTATTTCTTGTTATTAAACATTGTTATTACAAGACTTTCCTAAGGGTTGCCTCAGACAGGTCTTGAACAGTATATTGCTCTTTGGGACATCGAAGCAATCACAGTGGAAGTTTACTGAAACATTTAACAGTTATTATGGATAAAAAAGGCATATGCATACTATTCCCTAGTTAAAAAACAGAAAGCAAACCAAAACTGAAATCACGATTAACAGCAATAACGCCCAGGAGACATTATTACAGGAACATCTGAGTAAACCATGCATATTTTGACAGCTTTTTTTTCGTTTGTTTGGGTTTTGACAGCTTACTGCTGGCAGCAGAGAATCAATGATTTTCCAGACTTTTTTGAATGAAATCTGTGTTCATCTTTCCTGTAAAGCAAGGGTGGAGACTCTACTGCCACTGGAATTAAGGATTATAAAACTCCTTTGAGTTTTCACTAAACTAGTCTTAGAAGAGCTATGAGTTATTAATGCAGCTAGATAGTGCGATGTAGCAAAAATAAATTTTACAATTTTCTAAGTAAGAAAATAACTTCCATTACCTCATTGTGCTATAAGAAGTTCTTTCCTTTACCAATATCTTGGCATAACCTCCAATGATAGATTTCCTCTTTCATATAGAATTGAATTTACATTTGGAAACAGACATAAAAAAGAGTATAATCTAGATTCAGCAAAAGGCTTGACTGTAAGTGTTTCACAGTATCCTAAGGAACTCATACTTCTGCACTGTCTTGGGTCAATTTGCTTGGCATTCTATTGCTACTTTTGTCTTACTGCAGAAACCGCATTTTGAGCATCAGCAATGTTCTTGTCATGTGCCATTTAGCTTTTTCTGGCTTTATAGAAATGGGAAGAGTTAATATGAATTTCTTCAAAAGCAAATAACCTCAGTGCTCATAATAAAAATAATTACACATTATTGTCAATAAATCATGTAAATTATGTTTTTAGAAACACTATGAACTGTATAAGCAATATATACACTGTAGACTTCAATGCCAGATTATGTGTTTTTTACGTGCTACCATGATTCCTCTCTTCTTCCGATAGGAAGCTGCCACTAAAGGAGGAAAATGGGAAAGAAGCTTTAAATGCAGAAAACATAGAAATCAAAGTTGCTAATGACATCATCCAGTCAAAAGAAGATGATAGCAAAGCATAATAAGATAAACTACAGCTGTCTGGATAATGCATTTGGATCGAAGTAACCCCGTGACCAAAACTTTACAGCTGACCTTAATTTCTTGGGAAACTTAAGCTTGGAATAGTTAGTACATGTGTACATACAATGAAACAGTTTCTGTCTACAGTTCCTTTCTATTCTTTGGTTAATGGTTTTAGTATGTAGTTTCGCTGACACCAAGTCCCATGGTATAAATTCGAAAAATCTGCAGGATAAGAAGTGTAATTTGTTATATGATAAAGTTTGTCTACTTAGAAGAACAGTTATAAAGCACCCCTAACCACAAACAACACAAGGTCTCTCCAGATCTTACAATGCAAGCTACGTACATAAAGTGACATCTATGACTGTATTTGTTTCCATTTATAATAAAACAAAAGTTTAGGTTGCCCTTAAAAAAACCCAACAGTCTCAATGTAAAGTTTAAGACCTTAGCAATGGCAGACACTCAGTAGTCATTCCAGCTGTGCTTATCACTTGAACTAAACAAATAGCCAGCTCTACCTGTAGTTTCACCTGGGTTCTTTGGTAAAATAAAAAGTTGATACTGACCATGTAGAGACTTAAATAATATTGGCTAACTATTTTGTAGCATTATATTGGCCTCATCCTGACTACATGAGTGTGACTCTGAAAGACTCCATGATTTTCAGTGATTCAGGTTTTCTGTATTAAAGTTTTAGAGGTTGCATGTGAACTAAAGTACAGCAAAGGTGTGAAAATAAAACTTTTTTTAATCATAACCTTGGCTTTAAATGAAACCTTACAATAAACACAAGCTAATTTGGTATTAGACCAAATACATTTTTTCCTGTCTAGCATTCCTTAAGATGTTAATTTTTTTATTTATATTTATTATTCTGCTTAACATGCACCACTGAAATTGGACTGATATATTTGATGCAAAATTTATTCATATTTATTACCATTGATTTATCGGTGCTACTAATTGGAGTAACATATTTTGTTTCTATTTCAGCAGTGTATTCACACCTACCAGACTTTTCAGAATCTTCCTGTGAAAAAAGTAGATAAACAATATAGAAAACTAGATTGAAAAACTGTACTTAACAAAGTAAACTGTAGAGTACCTTATGGATTTCCCAAATCTAAGTCATACTTGAGGTTTAAGTGTAGCTTTACTCAGTAAATCATGTTCTCTCCACACTATATCTGAATTTTTCTCATATTTGAAGTTCTTATACTTCCCAGTTTCCCACAGGATGTCATCAACCTGTAGCTGATATTTCATAGTCATGCTGAAGTGGTTGACTTTTGTGCAGTAAAGCTGAAAGTGAAATGTAAAAGAGTGTCCTTAAATTTGAGGAAGGTGGCAGGTTAACCTTCATGTTAACCCAAGCTTTAGTGCATTTGAAATTGCTGAGGACATATTTAATGCATAGGTCTTTTTTATTTTTCAAAACCAAGTCATTTTATGGGGTTTTTTTACAACTTTTCCTTACCTTAGAAAATAACAACAATGAACCAACTAGTTGAGCACAGAGGCATGCCACAGGTGTGGCTAGGATAAGAGGCCAAGTTCCCACAAAACCAGTACCAAAGTGAAAAGAATGGGTAAGAGGAGGTAGAAATGTGGGATAAAAGTCATGAAGGAGAATAATTTAAATGTGCCGCAAAGAAGTTTCCTTAAGACACTATTTCTGAGCGAAGGAAAGATGAAGACATTCCTTTATGACCTCTCACTGTTGCTCCCACATACTCCCACTACTGGGTAGGCAGTACTACCAAATAGCTGCTTGTTTATTAAATTTCAGTCCTGTTTCTTCCTGAGTAAGTACACAGTGAGCAGGACTGCCCCTCACCTGTAATCAGGAGAGACAGTTGTCTCTTGTATGTGAATATATGTTATTCTACAAAGTATATGTTAGCAGCTGGGCTTTTTCCTCTGTCAAAATGCAAGGAAGGGACCTGGAAAACTCCAGCAGTTGAAAATAATGTGGCAGCCCACATCATCTCATGCAGTATTTTTACTGGGGATGAAGGTAGGAAACATCCTTTCCTTTTCTATTTGCCATCACAAACTTAGGTGGTGCTGTGCATATTCACATAAATCAAGCTTTGATAGGCAAATGGTGCTTTTTCCTGAATCCAGCATGATCATTTGCACAACAAGGTTCTTATACAATGTGGACAGAGCTAACAGTGTCTAGGCTCAACTGTGGGTGCATTTCAAATTTTAGTACTTCTTCTTGAGATTTGCACAAAAAACTTTATGGCCTAACAGCTATATATTTGGGGTTTGGGGTTTGTTTTGTTCGGTTTTGTTGTCTAATATGGCCTCTAATTACAATATGAAGGAATTAGAAAATTTAAGAGTTCTTGTCAGCACATTTATTATTGATACGCCTGTGCTGCTCTTTATAAGTAAAATGTACCGCAAAACTATTTCAATACTGGAAGCAAAAGCATTTCCCACGATATTGGATTATAAATCAAAGGTTATTTTCAGGAGTATTTATTTTCTTCCTGCTGTTAAGTCTCCTGCCAGCTGGGCTATGTGAAGGCTGAGAATTAAACAGTTCTAAATTACCAATGGACTGTCCAAGCATACCATTTGGTATGTTATCTCTTATGCTTTGACTATGCTGTGCAGGAGAAAGCCACGCTATAACTATGAAAAAATGCTCAAAAAACACTGATATGTGCAAATATTTCCAAATGAGGGACAGTGCATAGTAATTTGTAAGATACGTGTAGAGTGGAATAACATCATTTCTTTACTTTCTTTTCCTATTCTAGACTAAAAAAAAATAAAAATCTGTATAAATGTCACTTTTTCTGTCTAAAAGTAATTTCAAGTGTTAGTATGAAATGTCAGAAGAGTTGACAAAATATAACTATTTGTAAAATAATCTGAATTGTTACACTAACATACTCTAGGAAGAAGGATGGGAGGGAGCCATTGAATTAATTAATGATATGGAATGTGGCAGTGACAATCTCTTTTCAACAAAAAATAAGGAGTAAAATTAAGTAAAATGACTTTGAGCTTGTTATTTTTTTTAGTAGACCTGCATTCTGATTTACCACAACAGTAAGAAAAGTTTTAATTAGTGTTTAACAATTTAGTATACAAATGTGCTCTGGAGAGTTTTTTCTGGTTTTGTTTTTTGTTTGTTTGTTTGGGGTTTTTTGACTGTTACAATTTTTTTGTGGTTGCAAAAATATTTACTATTCTGGTGATGCTAATGTCTATTGTGACAAAGATTAATTTATTTAGGCCACAGTCTTGCAAGAAATTAGTGTGGCTGAGCCCACCCCTCATATGCCACCCCACAGACATCAGTGGGGTTGATGTGAGCAGGAGGATGGATGTACTTTCATAAGAGACCTTGCAAGATTGGGCCTACTAACTCTTCATAGATATATACAACGTAGTCACACAATGACACTCATCTACAAAGGCTGTTCGACAACAGTCCCTGGTATAGTAAATTCCACCTGCTGTCTTCAGCCTTGCATTGATGTTTATCAGAAGAAGTGGCTTTCTTTTTATGATGGTAATTACTTTGATTATTTATTTAAGTGCCAATCATCAAATTGTAGTATAATAATCATGCCATTTTTCTGTTTCCTAGACCGGATAATGGAAATGTATTTGTGCCTTTTGATAGCATGCCACTCTGCTTTATTAAAGAAAAATCTTCAGTAATTTGTCTACAAAGCCTGTTCAAAATATTTAAAAGCTCTACCATGACATACTTCTCTGCTCACATATGCTCAAATACTCCTCTGAAGTAAACTGGAGGTAGTATTCTCAAGTTACATAAATATTTTAAATGCAAAAATTGCAAAAATCTATTGAGATCACAATTCTAGTGAGGGTCATAGTGGGTGTATTACTGCTGGAAAGATTCAAGTACACACGTGGGAGGGGTGTGGGGGTGTTTTGACCAATTTATCAAGTTGGAGAGTCAGATAGATAGAAAGTCTCAGTTATATTTAGGTACTTAGACCTAAAACATTAAAATCTTTTCTCAAATCTGAAAGATTATGTGGAGCATCTTCCCACCATTTTACCTCTGGAATGAAGCTGCAGTGAATACTTGTTTTGCAGTGGCCTCACCATCTCTGTAAGCTGTCATATGAAGTAGTATCTTTGTAGAGATATTGTTGCATCTGTTGGATGACATTCACTCCTGATTAAAGGGCCTCCAAAAAGACAATTTACTGAAAAAGCTCAAGAACCCTATTACAAATTGATCTACGGAGGGGTGCTGAGAGCACTGCAGGAAGGGCCAAAGTGGAATCCAGGTATCACTAGGCTCAAACTGACTTCAGTGGGGCCTGAGTTTCATCCATTCATCTCAGCGAGGCTCTGCATGTCCTCAGCTGATCAAGTCGCTTTTGCAAATTGGACTTCAAGTAAGTGGGACTTAAATGTTCTGCCGGGTTCCTGTTAAAATTTTGCTTAGAAAAGGTTTTCCCATCAGGAGTTTGTACGGATCAGGAAATGCTGATAAAAATATCTGATCACAGTTTTATGCCATCCTAGATGCCCACAAATAAAAGAAATGAAAGAAATGAAACATTCCTCTAAACAAGTCATTGTGATTGTGGTACTTCTTTAGGTGAAGATTAAAACACTCTAAGAAGTAGTATTTCTTCTTAAATCCAGCTTCAGATACTTGTGCCAATTGATGCAAAGCTACTATGGTTGAATGCTTTTTTTTTTTCCAAAAAAGGATCCACCCCCTCTTCCAGATTTTTTCATATAATTTCCTGGAGTACCCAGTCCACTTGACAGCAGTTCTGTAGCGGTGGGAGGATACCACTCACTAAGTTTTAAGTGATCTTCAGTATTACCACTGCATATTAGTGTGTTCTTTTATCATTTTATTTGAACCTGAGCCAAAAAGAAGCCTTTCCATTATAAATTTGGCTTTGGATTAGGTTCTGAGAAATCAGTTTACAAGTCTATCTTTCCTCTTAACAGGCATTGTAAGCCTCATGATGTTTGACTTTCAAACTTGAATATTGGCCATTTTTAGCCCAGAGAAATGAAATAAATATTTATTGCCAAATTCGTATTGGCAGCTTTTAAGTCGTAGGTGAGATCGGGAGCGGGCAAGATGACCAGATGCAGTGCTGGCATTTCAGGAAAGCCACTACCAGAGAGAACAGGTGCCAAAGAGTGAGCTGAGAAATTGCTCGGATA